CTTTTTTTTTTTGGGTCGAAATAATAAAAAATAAACTAAAAGCAGAAGGAAAGGTTTTTCCTCCCCTCTCTCTCTCTATGGCTGCTCGGTGTTAGAGATTACCAAGAGGCTCTCTCAATCGCCTCAACGATCAGGTTCGCTACTCAGATCCCTAACTTCATTTCATTTGTCTCCACTACTCGATTTTCCTTCAAGGAATTCCTCACGTTCCCTGATTTCAAATTTCACATCTTCGTGAAACTATATCTAGGGCTCGAACAAATTCTTCAGAATCATTTTCGCTTTTATGTTATTAGGAATTACAATCCCTGCCAATATTTATTTAGCTTGGAATGGTTTGGCGACTGCTACTACCTCTTGATAATCACTTTACCTTAAAGCTCTCTTCGTTCTGCTTATCCTTTACTTGTTCATTCACACAGGCAACAAGCCATTCATTCGATGGAGAAGTTGCAGATTTATCCGACGTCTAACTCGGGTGTTTCCCCTTTTTGGCGAGGTCCTCAAAGTTCACACCTTTAGCTGATATGTTTTTGTATTTTTCAGAGTAATTTTTGCAGGCTATTATTGTAACTGTTTTGTTTCCATCTCTCAGACAAGTATGAAAGGGATGCTAAAAAGTACTGGGATGTATTTTACAAGCGTCATGGAGACAGGGTAAGCTTTTTTTTTGTGTCCCTTAATTGAGCTTACTCTATTCACTTATGATTGAAAGCTAATATTGATCCATATAAGCATAACTTAGGCTGTGTTCACTTGTGAACTGGTAAATGCTTTTGATTTCGTTAGCTGGGTGTGTAGAGGACCTTTCAAAAGACATGTTAAAAACCTTCTCTTTCATGATATGCTCATACATTATCTTAAGGATATATGTGTCGGTTTATTCTTTGGTTTCTTAAATATCTGGTACAAATACAAAAGTGATTAGATTTGTCAAGCTGCCAGACGTTTGAACTGGTTAGAGCGATAGATGGGTTTGATTGGGGATTCAAGTTAGTGATACTATATCAATATTTGGTTTACGTTAAGTGACTCCACTGTTTGTTTGTGTAACGGTATACAAGAGAAGGAATTTCTTTTTGTCATATCACAACGTTGCCATTAGTGCACTGTGAAAACTGAGCGTGAGCTCAATTTGCAAATGATGACGAATGCTGCGTTTTATATGATATTATCTTGTTCTTTCATCAGTTTTTTAAAGACCGCCACTATTTGGACAAGGAATGGGATAGCTATTTCTCTGTGAGTTGAAAAACCAAGATTTTTCTGGTATCTGCTGCATTACCAATTCTAGTATTCAACCTGAGTTTGTCTTATTCCCTTTTTCAGGCTAGTGGAAAAAACGTCATTCTTGAGGTACTCACAAATGCTCGAGCTGTTCCTCATCTATTAGTATTTGTTGTTTGCTTGATGAGTAGCTTGTGTAGAATATTCTGCTGAGCAATTGGTCTTGATTTGCAGGTTGGCTGTGGAGCTGGAAACACCATCTTTCCATTGATTGCAACATATCCACACCTTTTCGTTTATGCATGTGATTTTTCACAACGCGCTGTCGACTTGGTCAAGGTTGGTCGTCATTCTTCATTTTGCGTTTTTTGGGGGTTAATTTGTCTTTGCTAGTGAGGTCAATTTATCCAGCTCTATGATGTAAGATTTTATTTGTTGGGGATAAATGATAAACTGGCTCAGTTTATACTTCCGTGCACGAGTGCGTGCTAATGGAGTGCCAATTCCTTAATGGTTATATTATAGTTATAGTCTTTGACTCTATGTCGCTTAAGCACATTTACAGCTCTACCTTAATTTATACCTGTGAGGGTTACTTGTTGCATCCACCAAGATATTTGATGTGTGATTCACAGTTGTTTGGTTACTGGCCTAACTTGATCAGAGTGTGTTATAACCTGTTATGAAATTCAGGCTCATGATGAATACAAAGAGACGCGCGTGTGTGCATTTGCTTGTGACTTGACCGGGGATGGCCTTGACAAGCATATTTCTCCATCTTCAGTTGATATTGTGACTATGGTATTTCCCTAACAAAAGTTTATTGTCATGTTAACTTAGTTGATAGATTATCTTTTGCTAAAACATTTGCCTTGTTCCCCTTGTTTTTGTTTCTTTCAGTATATCATATTTGAGCCTTTTATTTTCTCATGGTAAATATTTGTTGAACAGATATTTGTTTTATCTGCGGTATCCCCAGAAAAGATGCCATTGGCATTGCAGAACATTAAGAAAGTACTCAAGGTATCAACCACATGGTCCACATCCTTTTACATGTACTTTTGGACATCCATCATCCTCTGCAAATCTGAATTTCTTATTATACTGTTTTCAGCCAGATGGGTGTATACTCTTCCGTGACTATGCTGTTGGTGATCTTGCTCAGGTTTGATCCACCTTTTATTACTTTCAAAGTTGAGTTATAGCTTCTCTGTTTTGCCTTGGTGATGTAATTAAAATCTCACTAATAATACTGATCAGTACATCATGAAATGCCCATTTTGATGCACTTGAAACTAGTCTCTTCAACTTTAAGTATTCTGTGAAATGGAAAAAACTCTGCTACCGTTTCATGTTAAAAAATACATTCTACTCTTCCTTGTCGTATTGGAAGATCAACCAATATTTTAGAAGGTTTAGTATTTTTTAGATGAGATCTTTCTGAACTACATGCTGTAGAACATGAAGGCATTGTTACCCATTATGTGTTTCAGTATTTGATCGACAGGAAAGGTTTTCTGGGAAGGATCAGAAGATCAGCGAGAACTTTTATGTCAGAGGTGATGGCACTGTAAGTTCTTTCTTTCTTCCGTTTTTCCAAGACTATTTCTTTGCTGTACCCATTTCTATTTTTTTCCAGAACTGTGATGATTTTACCTTTTTATGCAGCGTGCATTCTACTTTTCTAATGAATTCCTAGAAAATTTGTTTTACGAACAAGGTTTTGAAGTCGAGGAGTTTGATGTTTGTTGCAAACAAGTTGAGAATCGTTCTCGCGAACTGATCATGAATCGGCGCTGGGTGCAAGCTACATTTCGTCGATCAAACGACAACAAAAAACCTTGTGATAGGATGACTCCTGCCAAATTAGACCAATCTGAACAACAAAATAACATTCAGCCTAAATCTGAGGCTCAAGAAAGAAAAGAGGTTGTCGATAATACTGACATTGACATATCTGATGGTCTGGCGTTGGAAATGTTCGGAGCCTCCCTATCAAGTCATGAGGTAAGAGACTTGTACTCTCATTGTTTTTACATATTTTGTCCAAAATATTTCTATTTTTCTGTTATGCTTATAAATTCATCTCTCTTCTTTTCTCCAATTTGTTTTTATAGACGAGCGTGGTTAAGCTTAGGGATTCTTCTTTCAATATCAAACTTTTGTCCAAAGAATATCAACATACTTGTAAATCTACGGGGCTGATGCTCTGGGAGTCTGCTCGGCTTATGGCTGCTGTTCTTGACAGGAACCCAAACATTGTTTCTGGGAAACGGGTGTTGGAATTGGGTTGTGGCTGCACAGGAATTTGCTCGATGGTAGCTGCCCGATCAGCTAACCTCGTTGTAGCTACTGATGGAGACACAAAAGCAGTTACACTATTGATGGAGAACATTGCAATGAATCTCGAATCTTCTTTACTTGGAAAACTGAAAACAGGTGTACTTGAATGGGGAAACAAAGAGCATATTGAAGGCACTAAGGGTTTGGCTTGTGGAGGATTTGAACTTATCATTGGGACAGATGTTACCTACGTTCCTGAAGCCATATTACCTTTGTTTGAGACCGCAAAAGAGTTGATCTTGCGAAAAGTGGGAGACTCGGAGGTTCAAGAAAAGCCGGCATTGATTCTATGCCATATTTTCAGAAGGGTTGATGAACCTTCTCTCTTGTCAGCTGCATCTAAGTTTGGCTTTAAGCTTGCAGACAGATGGGCTGTAAATTCGAGGGAATCTGGTACTATGAACATCATTGACGGTTGGTTTTCTGAAAAGGATTTGATCACGGAAATCCCGAGTTCGGCCTTGCATATTCTCTACTTTCAGATGGAGTAACTTTGGGGTAGAGGAGCAAATGTGGATTAGATGGCACTTGTTGTGGTTTTTCTCTTTGAATTTCAATGAATGTTGTACAAATTTTTGATCAAAAAAAGAATGTTCTACATATCAGTGGATTGCGTTGCGTGATCTTGTTCTGGTTATTTGTGAGAATCTGACCTTTTTTAGATTTTTGATTTTCGGTACAATTTCTTGGTAAATCCATTAAAAAAGTTCAAAAATAAGATGCCAATTTTTTTTGATTAGTATATTTGAGTTCAATTGTGCTGATTTGATTAGGATACTTACTGATAACATTTATCAATTTCGTTTTGTATTTATCATTTTGTCTGAGTTACCACCATTGTTTACATTTTTTATTTATCTAAGAAATAATTTTACAATAAAATAAAACAAAACACATTTATTAACA